GTGTGTGTGTGTGTGTGTGTGTGTTGTGTGTGTGTGTGTGTGTGTGTGTGTGTGTGTGTGTGTGTGTGTGTGTGTGTGTGTGTGTGTGTGTGTGTGTGTGTGTGTGTGTGTGTGTGTGTGTGTGTGTGTGTGTGTGTGTGTGTGTGTTTGTGTGTGTGTGTGTGTGTGTGTGTGTGTGTGTGTGTGTGTGTGTGTGTGTGTGTGTGTGTGTTGTGTGTGTTGTGTGTGTGTGTGTGTGTGTGTGTGTGTGTGTGTGTGTGTGTGTGTGTGTGTGTGTGTGTGTGTGTGTGTGTGTGTGTGTGTGTGTGTGTGTGTGTGTGTGTGTGTGTGTGTGTGTGTTGTGTGTGTGTGTGTGTGTGTGTGTGTGTGTGTGTGTGTGTGTGTGTGTGTGTGTGTGTGTGTGTGTGTGTGTGTGTGTGTGTGTGTGTGTGTGTGTGTGTGTGTGTGTGTGTGTGTGTGTGTGTGTGTGTGTGTGTGTGTGTGTGTGTGTGTGTGTGTGTGTGTGTGTGGTTCTTACTCTACGTTGCGATCTGCGCCCGTCTGGACTCTGGAGTGTGTGGCTGCTGCCTTCATGAGCAGATAGTCCCTGTCGTGGTCCGGGAGGAAAACGTAATGAGTCTCCTGAAACACAAATATGTCCATCATTAAATCTGCAGTAGTAGTATTTGTAGTAATTGTAGTAATTGTAGTATTTATAGTAAAACTGTGTTGTGAAATGTCAAATAAAAACTCCAGGATCCTGTGTCGGGCGTTAATACCAACATTTTCAGACCAAAATGACGCGTCTGACAGCAGCAGGTTCAGAGAGAAGAGCCACGTTTTTTCAATACAAAGAGAACTGGAGCCAGAGTCGATGGAGCTGAACCGCGCCCATGTTTACTTCCTGTTTGGAACACAGCGGGCTAAATAAATATGTCCAATTATATCCAAGTACAGCCTATGACTGTGCCCCTCCTTTGTAGTAGAAGTACTACCTTGTTCTGTGATGTGTGATTGTATTTGCAGTAGTAGTGGTAGTATTTGCAGTAGCAGTAGTAGTAGTATTTGCAGTAGTAGTATCTTGCTCTGTGACAGTTGGTTGTATTTGCAGTAGTAGCATTAATTGTAGTAGTGGTAGTGGTATTTGCAGTACTAGTACCTGGCTCTGCTGCAAGCGGATGTATTTGCAGCAGTATTTACATTTGTAATAGTAGTAGTAGTAGCAGTAGTAGTAGTAGTAGTAGTACCTGGCTCTGTGGTGGAGGGCTGTATTTGCAGTAGTAGCAGTAGTAGCAAGTAGTATTTGCAGTAGTAGTAGCAGTAGTAGTATTTGCAGTAGTAGTAGTAGTAGTAGTAGCAGTAGTAGTATTTGCAGTAGTAGTAATAGTAGTAGTAGCAGTAGTAGTAGTAGTATCTTCTCCCCCTACTCCACCTCCTCGGTCCTTCACCTGGTCCCTCACCTGGTCCCTCACCTGGTCCCTCACCTGGTCCTTCACCTGGTCCCTCACCTGGTCCTTCACCTGGTCCTCCTCACCTGGTCCCTCACCTGGTCACCCCTCACCTGGTCCTCACCTCACCTGGTCCTCACCTGGTCCCTCACCTGGTCCCTTCACCTGGTCCCTCACCTGGTCCCTCACCTGGTCCCTCACCTGGTCCTTCACCTGGTCCCTCACCTGGTCACCCCTTCACCTGGTCCTTCACCTGGTCCCTCACCTGGTCCTCACCTGGTCACCTTCACCTGGTCCCTCACCTGGTCCCTCACCTGGTCCTTCACCTGGTCCTTCACCTGGTCCCTCCCTCACCTGGTCACCCCTCACC